AAAAACAAATTCTATATATGTCATATGTAGTAATCAATAAGATATAATTAACTGACAAACACGTTCTTAGCTTTTTATAATATTTTAATTTTTTTGTGTCAAAATTCAAACGATAAATTACTAAAGCATAAATAAAAATGTTTCATACTATCACTGAGGCAATCAAATATCAAAAAACCCTTTTTCAATTTCCAAATCTTTTAAAATTCTACAGTCAAACGTTTGCTCTGGCAATTTCGAAAAATAAATTCCTCATTACTCTGTAAATTGCTGCAACCCCAACTATTTAACCAACCATATAATATTACATTTTAAGTTAATATTTCTCAAATGGTTTTGTAAAGTGTACAAATGTTTGTCCTGTTTAATGCCTAACCGACATCACAATTAACATGCGACTCCCTAACCACCCTAACCACGTAATCCGCTAACCACACATAAACCAGTCAGTAGAACAAGCTAACACATAGACAACGATTAAAAGCTTTCTTAGAACTCGCTAGAATAAAACTCACCTGAGATCGAGAAAGAACACATCACATACATCACATCCAAATTGTTTGCATTTCGAAATATGCATATAGAAATATTAATATTATTTTCTAGATTTAAATGAAATATTAATAAATTATTTCCTACATACAGTGTGCTGCGCCCAGCCAACAATTTGACCATCACGAGCGGCGGCAACGGCTACAGTCCTCGAAACTCCGTGGAAAACGACGCCTGGACGCTTGGTGAATCCTCCGAGTTTGGGGAATATCCCGATGACTACGACGAAAACGATGAGGCGGAGGGCGATGAGGAGATCGACTACGTTGGCCAGGAATCCGACGATGTTTTTGAGTCGGAATCCGGCGAGGCTGCGGTTCAGGACGCACAGTAGGTCAGCAGAAAAATAGAACACAAAACCAGCCACAGTGATAAATAATTCGATATATACATAACTATATATATATATATGTATAACATATTGTATTTCTTAGCGATCGATGTTGCGATATAGGCATAATCATCTCTGAGTTTCATTTATAGATTAGCTGACATGATTTTCCCTTGACTTGATTTCAATGAAGTTTTTAATTTGTACACAGAAAATCATCGATTAATCCAATAAACTGAATTTGCTTGAGAAAAGTGTTACTCACTTCTAAACTGTCCATAAGCCATAGCAGAAATGTTTTTAAAAGTTCAAAAATTTTGAGTTAAATTTTGTAAGACAAAGCATTTACGTATGCTAAAACAAAAATTATAAAAATTGAGTTGTAAAACTTTAAAAGCTTCTTAAATTGCTGAAATGTACAAAAATGATTCAACTAAAGGGTATATTTAAAATGAAAATTTCTAACAATGTCGGTTATGGTGCAAATGACTTCAATATAAAGAAAATAAATACTCAGATGTGACCTAGACTTAGTGAAGGGCTAGAAAGGGATTTTATGCCGACCCGAAATGACTGCAATCAAGTGCTAAACGAAACGAAACAATATAATTTTAAGAATTTGCTGACCCAAAACACCGGGAAAACTGACCAAACGGAATTGATTTGTTTTGTAATCTGAGCTAATTTCAATGCGTTCGAGATTCAGCCCTTTCTTTGCCCAAAATATAAAATGCTGGGAGCTGCCCAAGGAATTAGTTTGGTTGCGGTAGGAATTTGTAGTTACTCATGAACTCATGTCTGTAGGTTTTTTACAAAATACAAACATATATGCGAACACTCGATGAAAGGTAGCTTACATAAACAAATTATGATACGGTATAGTTTTATATATGCATACAATACTCTAGCTGGGTACTTCTTATACAGACGTCTAGTTTAGTACTATATAAATGGAGCAAATGTGGTAGACGCTTTTTAAACCAACTAAATTGTTAAAATATTTATTCTATGAGGCAAACAGAATGTTGTCAAATATCATGCAGTGGTGTCGGTGTCCATATTTGCAACTGCTCTCTGGATATTTAGAGGACTTGAGTTCATTTTAATAACTATTGTACTGTTTGCAGCAGCCAGCTTGAGCAATAGAGATCACTATAAGCAAAGACTTTTTCAAAACAATTTAAAAATGTCCAACGAAATAGTTCAGGAGCAGTTGCACGCTTTTAAAAAATATTATTTAAAAAAATATATATATACATATATTTTAAACGAATTAAATTGTAATGCAAAGAAACTACACAACAGCCGTCTAAACATTTTTAAAATTTGTATATTTTAAGTATTTAAACAGAGAGCAATGAATTGTTTTTCGTATTGTGTCCTATTTCTTGTTATTTTATTTCTCCAATAATTTTAGATAAACCAAAATAAACGAAGACAAAAATAAACAAACTTGATGAATCAAAAGTGTTGTTTTGATTGAAATAATAATTTTTCAGGTTCAACGACCGCCAATAAATTTAAATGAGATTATGAGGTATGCATATAAGTAGACTCCTTATATCCATATATAATAAGTAAATACAACATTTTTAGCGCTTCTGATTGTGATCCGGAATCGACTTTAACCTTTGTAGTTTTTTAGTAGTGTTTAGAAACAACCTTTTAATAAATGTTTTATTAAAGTGCCCTTAGGTGTATATTTCTCACGTAACCACACCAATAAATTAACCCAATTATTAAAACTATTGTTTTGTAAGCTAAACTGATATTGAAATTATTATTTTTTTCGTAGCGGAAAGAACTCAATTCAGTTCAAGGCCTAAATGTAACAACTGATTTGGATATACGAATATTTTCGATGAAAGTAAACAAAGTACGAAAGTGGAATTTGTAAAATGCGGACTCTTAGATAAACAATATTTGAATTTTAATTACAAAACAAAAACAAAACAATGTTGTTATATGCGGGACTGTCAGACTAAAGTGTGGGTGTTGTAGGGAGGGGAAGGTGCGTTGGGGGGATAAAAAGGAAACGTCAATTAGATTTTGTTTAAAACTGAAAGCGCAACCAAAACAAAGCAAACAAATCAACAGAGTGACGACTTTGAAGTCGAATCAACTTAAGAATACTTGAAGAAGAAAAAAATTATATACAAAAAAAAAGCTTAAGCTTTTTCTGTTTTTCTCAATGCATTTATGAAATATTATTTATCTTTTATCTAAATTTATTCATAATAAATGGAAGTTTTTAAAATATTAATAACCTTTTTCCTTTTTTGAAAGGAATTCGATTATTAAATTTAGAAAATATTATTTCGTATTATTTAAATAATATTTTTATAAAATCAGATACATTGAATTTCTTGATTATCGAATACGAAAAAAACTGATTATTATTATTAAATAATCTAAATCGTAATCTAAATTCGTATTCTGAGTGCATATAAACTAACCTGAGGTGATTTTAGCGTGAGTAACCAGTATTTTTCTGAGTGCGTGAAGCATGCAAAATTTGAATCCACATTGGAAACTGAATACAAACAACAAGAGGGACAACAGGGCAGTCACGGCGAGAGCCAACAAAAAGCACAATAAAATGAAGCAAAACTAATTAAATTATATGAAATAGGAATGTAAACAACAAGCTCGAGCTAAAACAAAACAAATAAAACACCCATAAATATTTATTATAAAGAAAAACAAAACGAAACAATTTCACGGTGGAAAAAACACCAGCTTCAGAGTCCGTTAATAAATTATATTAAATATTTGTGCTGTTTGTTTAATAAATATTTTAATTAAATTTTAAACTTTCGAGCAAGCGAAAATTGTTGGTCATAAATGGTCAGCACGATAAACTAACTCATAAATAATTTCGTAATTGAATAGTTGGCAGTTCAATTAAGACAAACTAGATTAGGTCTCCATTAATGCAATGCAATGTGCAATTACCGAACAATTGATAATAGAAATAAGATTAAATAAAAAATATATTTGACATTATATTCTTCAGTTGAGTCAAAAAATATTTATAAAGTATACTCTTAAATTTGTTTAACTTTATTTAGACAAAAATTTTCCATAAAGAGCATATATTACTAAAATACCAAAACAATGGAAATATTTAAAAGTACCAGACGAACCAAAAATATTTTATTAATTCCATACCATTTATCTGTCAGTTTGCACCTGTTAGGCAAGAATCACGAAACTTCGGTTGCCGAACAAAGAAATATTGAAAATTGCTGAGGAGATGGCCAAACACAAGCTTATTAATTATTATGATTGCTATTAACCTTTGGGTTGTTTATTGCTTAGCACGTCTGGTTTCTGGCTACCTCAATCACATGAAAATTTTGAATTTTAATTTCCATTTCCATTCAGATTTTTAAAGTGCCTCTGAGCCTCGGAACTTCTCGCTATTCTCGAGGGGATTTTCGTATTCGTTTTCGTTTTTATATAGAAATGTTTGGGGTCTCATTCTGTTTGGGTTTAGTCTGGCACTTAAAAATGGTTTTATTTATGGGCTTTTATCATTTCAGCTTTCTCGGGATTTGTGATACGACCATAAACAAATAATGCCTAATGTGCATTAACTCATAAACAATGCAAATCATTATTAAGGAAAAGTGGTCGAAGGAATCCGGGCTCTTGAATTTATTCACCACATTGCCACTGGTACTTGAGGCCACTTGGCTCCTCGTGATAAATGGCACAATATCCATCGATTCCATCTATGTACAAATGTACCAAGGCCCCTCCATTTCGAGTCCGCATTTGTTGCTTCTTAGTGCGTCAATGAAGACTTTTCAGCTTCTCAATTGCCATTCAGTCCTGAGTACCAGAAACATTTGTCATTTGCTGCCGGCAATTATAAATATAAGGCATGTGTGTGCGCATATCTCATTACTTTAGGGAATGTTGTGCTGGATTGACAACTTCCAGTACTTCAAAATTATTACATTTGAGCAATGGAATGTCATTTTTCCCTAAGTACTGCGCAAAATTCAATTTCAACATTGGTAGAATTTTTAACCACAATTCCCAAGTTGTCTGGTATATAAAAGTAATTAATTTTAAAAATAATCATTAATCATTCATTCAATAATTTAGTTTATTGCTCCGGATAGATCCTTTTAAAGTTATAATATAAACCTGGGTTATACACATCATACATTGGATGCTTCATGATGATGTGCTTAAAGTGCCAGCGTTCGGCGAGAAGTGTTAAAATAGAGATCACATAGCCAATGCCCAGGGCCACAAAGGAGCTCCAGAATTTCTGTATGTTCATTAGAGCCTCCTGTTGAGCAGGAGCCTCCGCCGGCAGATGCTGAATGGCGTCCTTCAGCCACTTAGATATAAGACCTTTGTGATAAGAAAAAATCAAATGGGATTTCTCGATTCGGTGGACTCAACTTACCACCCTCTGTCATATATTGAATGGAGTTATCAACCCGCTGTTTCAGGGCCGAGTTCTTCTCCATGGCCAGCACCACGGGCATATAGACAACACATTCCTTCATTATATGTAGAGAAGATCCGATTCCGGATCCAGTATTGTCTGCTACTCGTAGATATCGCAAATAGAACTCGTTGTCATAGTAAGCACATTGACCTTTAGATATTCGAGTGGTCTGTGATATAAAGAATTTATATTATTCTGTCAGCCATATTTAACTTATCTATCACCATATCTAATTACTAAATTTAAAACATTTTCCTAGTATATATCTATCGTTACATTGAAACAATATTTCTATATTTTTCAATGACAGCAATAACAGCCAACTTCTGAGCAATTTTATAATACCCTCTTAAAGTGCGTAAAAGCCAAGTATAAACTAAACTGTATGCAATTGGAAATACACGATAAAACAAACTTATGAAAATAAAAATATTTAAATAAGTTAGGCTAAAACTTAAAAAGTTTTCATTTAAATCTAAACGCAAATGTTATACTTTACATATTTAACTTTAGTTATTTTAAAATATAGGGTATTTTTGTTTTCTTTCTTACATAGTATTATTATATTACTTTATTTATTTAAAAACAAGTGCTATATTTATTCTAGCCATGACCCTCTTTCCGTCTGAAAATTGAAAAACAAATTAGTCTCTCCCAAAGCTGTTAAGTCAACGGACTACTTTTCATATCACACTAGATTATTTAGCAGACTTGAAGAATTAATACCTTTAAATTAAAAATGTTGCCAAATACGCTTATCAAGTTGATAAGATATTTTGCTTTTTGAAAACAAGTTAGAACTGGTTTTTGTTTTTCTATCTTCTGGTATAAAGTTCATTGCTACGAAATGTGATAAAGAGTGTCATAGTAAATCACGTATGTTCTTAAGGCCTTTATTAAAGCTAGTTAGCTCTAATTGGAACCGGACATTAGAAAGTGGTACGATTTATTGATGATCTAATTATAAACATAAAGTCTATATTATTCATTGAGAAAGGAAGACTCTTTGTGGTTTTCGCTTTAACTCCATGACACATACCGATAAGTTTTCTTATTAATTCATGTATTTTTACCAAATCATCGGTGTGTCCAGTCACCTCCATCTTTTCGCCCACCTTTCGAGCGATTTCATCAGTGGCATCTAAGAAAAACTGCCTATTTTCGGTCACACCAGCCGAGGGTGGAATGTGTGAGGCCAGCAGATCCTCCAGAGTGTCAATAGTAATTCTTTACCCAAAAATTTCAATTAAAAAGCTTTTCAAATATATCTAAAAATATCACTTATACCTAGCTGCCGGATTGGCCAAAATGGCTGTAAAGCTGGCCCTATAGGTAGCCACCAAGAGGATGCAGTAGATCCAGTACCATCCAGTCAGCACCCTCAGAGGCCAATTTCGGGGCATTCGAGGTAGGGCCACATATAGGAGCATGCTGTACGTGAGCAGGATGCAGTTGGTGTAGTCGTCGAAAAGATCACGAGGACTTCGCGATTCCTTGGCAGGACGATGGCGACTAATGGCAATGCGGAAGCTAATTCGACGATAGGTTTTCGGGTCTATCATAATACCACGATTTTGTCTAAGACAGCGAAAGAATCCCGAGGATACATTCCTGTTGATAATGGCATTCAAGAAACTAATGGCATAGAACACAGTGCCCACTACAAAAAGGGAGAGTAGAACGCCAGCCCACATGCCGCCGCTAAAGGGCAGGATAAAGGTCTGCCAGGAGTTGTCCGTCGAGGATTCCGGTGTGAGAAATGTCAGGCACTCGAAGTTGTGCGGCAAACTTAGCTCCACTAGCTGCAGATACACCTGGAACTGATGCAAATCTCCAATGGCAAAACGGGCACTGTGCGCAGCCTGGCCAGATTAAATTATAAATGAGTCAACAAGTTGCCAACTTACATAACATAATTATATTTTGAGAGCCCTTTTGGTCCCCACTTACCACCTCCTCGACAAGCATTGAGTCAATGTGGCTTTCATTCTGCCCGTATCCATCCGGATTACCACCTCCATAGCCACTTTCCAGCTCCCAGTCCATATTTTCACTTTGGTTGGGCCTGTAGTAGACGGGTTTGAAGTTCAACGCCTTGCCCAGGGCATTCATAATCTCCACTTCAACTCCTTGGAAGCTGTTTGTCGTATTCGCCCACAGAACCATGGGCACGTGCTCGGAAATGGCCACTGGTATCGAGGCTCCTGGAAAGGAATGGGATTTACAGCGATAAAAGCCCGAATATTGGGGTAAGTTTTAACACAAATATGTTCTGTTTCATGGGGGTTTCATGTGTTTATCTTCATGAGTTAATTGAGATTTTGATGACACTGCCAATTTCTGATTAAAACTATTTGCTGCCTGTTTAGATTGTTCCTAAAATTTAGGTAATTTTGATTCTTTTTAAACCAATTTGGGTGTTTTTTTAATTGTTAGGATCTGATTTAGTTATTTACGTTTTTTTAATGGTATAAATAATATTTTTAAGGTATAATAATCTAGTTTTTAACTTTCAGACTTACCATTTAAATTACTGGTCTTGTCCGCAAACAAAACCTTTCCATTCACACTTTTTCCCGCTTCCCAATTGGCGATGTTCTTCCAAACCAGGACGCCACTCAAAATGCCTGAAAAGGCAACAGTAGAGATGGTAAATCTAAAACGAATAAATCCTTAGCTATAACACCTTTGTGAAGATAGTTAAATATTCTGCACCCACTTGTTGTCCAACTGCCTTTTGAGGAACACTGTGCCGACAAAAACACTCCACAGATGGATCATATCCCGCTCGAAAAGTCTTGAATCGTGCAGCAGGATGAACTTTTTCTGCATATCTAAGGCTCTGCTGTCGTAAATATATCTAAGAAATCGCTGGACCTGCCAGCCGTTGAGTATGGTGATCAGATTTAGTTCACAATCGCTGGATTTAAGGGCCTGCACGAAGAGCTCAACTTGTTTGGATGGTCTCTGGAGATCAGCACTGGCATTAACACGCATCACGAAGAAGGGAACCACTTGACGACCCACCGATTCGAAAAATACCCGATCATAGATGCCATAATGTAGATCATCTGTGATGACGCCAAAGCATTTCTTCACATTGGCGGCCCATAGAATTCGCTGCAGCAGTTGTTTCAGGTGAATTTCATACCCGTTGAGGGGATTTTCATCCTCGGGTATCCTCGTGGCCATTGTGGTCATCGTGGTCATCGCTAGGGATATATAAGTCCCAGTCAGAATTCCCAGCCAGCGCATCCTTTCGCCGACGAACGCAAACTGCTGGCCACTCTCCATTCCAGCAGTTCGTTAACCTGTTTATGGGGAACCCTCGAGTCCTCATTGCATATGCAGATCTAATTAAACTTGTCCGAACTCTGTGAACTGGGAGCCCCCGGAATGTCAGTCACTCAGCTACTCAGTTACTCGTTGGACTGCCCGACCTGATTTACTCTACACGCATTCAACTTGCCGCCAAACAGGGTTATCTAATTAAGGTCTTGCTGCCCAGGGGTTAATTAGTTTAACCAGGTAATGTGTTCAAGGTTAGAGGGAATCCCTTGTTATTTTAGAGTGGAGTACTGGCGAATCCTCAAAACACATTTTGATTTAAATTAACAGCAACACTTTCTGGGGAAAAACATAAATGCAAGATAAAATATTGTTATGTCAAGTCATATAATATATAAGCCTTTTTATTACATTTTAATAATGCAAGTAGAGAAATGTCTTTAGTTGTGTAAGATAAAAATGTTGTTATCAAATTATAAACACACTGGTAAAAAAAAAATTAGCTTAAATTTAATAAATATATATATATATTTTTTATTATAATTTTATTCTATTATTCCACATTGTTTAAAATATTCAGGATATTAAAGTAAAATAAGAGATCCCAATGAAAACTGAAATGTGAACTAATGTCACAACTGATTTTTTGTTTTTGAGCTTTTGCGTCTGTTAAATAAATTTTTATAAAAAAAATAACAAGATTAAGGCAGTTTATCTTTTAACATATTTATTTAACTTGTATTTGTTTTTTTCATTTTTTGTGTTGCATTATTTAAACTTAAATATTATGCCTAATTCTCTGAAGTATCTTTCGCAATATATGGCATAAGCTGAACATAACAAACTATAATTTTTCATTGCCTAAATTCGCACAATCGATATTACCTTTATGCACAATAGCCAACTAATACACAAGAAGTATCTCAATAAATACCTGCATAACCCAGCGATAACCTCTTCTAACCAAAATAAAGCGATGGCAACCAACTCACTCAAGAATCACAAATGTACAGTAAGCAAATAAACCGAAGCAGCAATCAAGCGTCATTAAATTTCATTTAATCAGTCATCCACTGATTGAGATCTATGGCGAAAGTTGTTGCTTCCGATCCGATGTTGTCACTAATTCGATGACTGACCACAACGCCCAGACAATTGGATCAGACTAATTTATCATAAGACCATAACTAATCCGTCCGTCAGTCCGTCTTCATTAGGGGAAGACATGAGATCGGAGGTTCAGTCTGTGGAACAGTACTTAATGCTGCTGCTGATGAGTTACTGCAGTCGCGAAATCAGTAAATTGCGATCATCCGCAGTCAAGGCTGAGACACTAACGATATAGTAATGCGGACGACGCCGTGTCACTGGGCATAAGAGATTCAGTCCGCCAGTCAGTCAGTCAGTTAGCCCGCCGATTAAAGCAGCAACAGCGCCCAGAAGCCGCATTCAAATAGCCATTAATGTCAGCTTAAGTCAGCCGGTGAGTCCGAGCCAATCAGCCTGTGCGGATTTGCCGAGATGTGTGTGATGTGTGAGTGTGGGCAGGTAACCAGTAACCAGTGACCAGCAACCAGCGAGCAGTCTTACTTATACCTATACTCATACCTATATCCATTCCCGTTCTTCTGCGCTTTATTGTCGTGTAATTAACTTTTTCCGAATCGTCCGGATTTGGAATTGTTTGCACATAATTGCAATTTAATTATTTTCTCTCGCTCGTTTCCCTTTTCATGTTTTTATGGATTTATGTTGGTCGCGCGGTCTGTTGGCCATTAGCTTGGTAACAGGTAACACCCGTCTCTGGGACCAAAAGACCCAAACCCATACTCATACCCATACTCATACCCATACCGATAGCGATTCTGACCAAGACCGAACCGCATCCATCTCCATCCAGTACCCAACCCTGCCGGCAGGTAGGTAGCGCAGAAATCGATTTCAGCCGCCCCCGGACCGTTTCCCATGTCCAAGTGTCAGCCGGTGCCGCTGGTGCCGGGTCCGTTCTCTGTGGACCAACACTTAGAAAAAATAATATATCATGAAAATGTTCTCGACAAGACGAAAAATCAAATTGTAAGAACAACACACATCTATGTAATATACAATTTTTACAAAACTAGTTTGTTAAATCTTAAATTGTGAACAATATCATTTTAGTAACTGCGTTAAAAAGATTTATATTACATCGTTTATAAAGTAGGCAAAAAATCAGTACAAACGGTTTATTTAAAGTTTCAGTTCAAAATTTATTTCATATATATTTTGTTAAAATTGCAAGAACAATAAATAATACATCATTCATCATTCAATTCTCTCTTAAGAACTATTTTTATTTGTAGTCAATTATTGGCAGTAAAAAAACTAACCCACTACGGTATAATTACAAATTTTAAAAGTAAAAAAAGTTCTGTTTGAGCTCTTACATTAAGACAGACCTTAAACTCATACGTTTCATAATTGTGTATATCTATCTGTCTTAAGCAAACAATTATTTAAATATAGTTGGATAAAACTTACAAGCCTTGAAATAATCAGCGTTCGAAAATTGCAAACAAATAAATCGCTTTTAAGAAATTGAAAAACATCAAATAACTAACATTTATTGCTTGATATTCCAAAAAAGTCACATAACATATATATCTTTAAATTAATCGAGCCTTAAAATGATAAGGAATAATAATTCATAAAATTATAAATTTAATTCAAAATCAAACATTTTTTCTTCAAGTGTTATGTGCTCCTAACGAGTGCATCGCATGCGGCGGTGGGAACGAGCGGAGATTTCGGCAGGGGAGTGGAAGTACCAGAAGTAGATATAGGGTCCAGCCGAGTGGAAAACATTTTGCACATTTATGGCCCAGATTCACTTGGTCCACGGTCCACGATCCGTGGTCAACAAAAATAAAATCAACAACGACAACAACAACAACAACGAGAATGGTCCGTGGGCTTGCCGTTGTTGTTGGTTGTTGGCCGCTGGCCGCTGGCTGTTTGCATTGACACATTTTCTATTTTTGTTTTCCTTGGGAGATTTTCTCAGCAGAATTTATGGGTTCCTTGAGGTTTCCTCTTCGACTGATCCCCGTGCACATGAGTCGAGGATTCGATACGCTTCTGTTTTAATTCCAACAAAATATTTTATGCGAATTTGGCAGTTTATTGTTGTCGGCTTTGGCTTAGAGTGTGAAATGTAACAAATTTTCCTCAGCGTTTGCGAGTGCGTGTGCGTGTGCGTGTGCCGGTGTCCTGGGAAATAATTCAACAGTTTTCCCACCTTCTGTTCGGTTGGGCAAGTTTTCCTCTTCAGCAACAATTTTTCCCCTGATTTATTGTCCCAGCTGTGCTCCCACATCTTTATCTATCTTCGGGTATTCGTTTTCTTTTCCTTCTTAGCCAGTTAAGCTCTTCAGTTACTTACAGTTTACAGGGCAGGAATGAAATATTCTCAAGTCCATCCAAAGTTTGTTTCTAGTCCATTGACAAAGTTCGGTTCACACGCTCGGGACTGAAAATACATATTTATCTTCCCACTTCTGATTAGTGAATCACTGGAAACTGGTTTAATATGCAAATCGAATTTTGCCAACTTTATTTATATATTTTTCGTTTATGCATATACATTTAATCAATTTACATGTGTCGCTGGCTAATTTATTCTTTAATTGGAACATGTCGATGACAATTTATGTAATCCTCTTAAAATATCAATGCTAATTTTAATTAAATTTCGGTCGGATATATGCATCATCAATTTTATGATGTCAATCTGAATTATGTCTCTTATTTCCACCTGAATACGTTTTTTGTTCCTACATTTTAAGGGAAAACCTGCAAAATTTATAGGCGATTTTTTTCTTTCGATTATTATTAAGAGCCACTTATTTTATCAGGTTTGCTTTTAGATGCCAATTGACTGTTTGATTAAAAAAGCCAAAGAAATATTACCATTTTTTTTCTTAGAGAAAATAATTGTAAAACGATCTTCTTAAGATTATATTTACTTAGATTATAACAGTGTTATTATTATAAATGTTTAATGTTTGCTTACCATATTTAAAACCGGAAAAACATTTTAAAAATAATTAGTTTTCATTTAATTTTTAATTCTTCTTGACAAATTTCGGTGTTTCTCATCGCAAAAAAGTATGCAAAGCTTTTAATAAGCTAAGAGCCGTGTGTTAACCTTTTGTTTTTTTAAATATTTATTTTATGTGTTCAATGTAAGCTTTAGTGTCTTTATGTACATGGTGCTCTACAGATAATAAAACAAATATTGACCTATCATTAGTAAATGTAGAAGAATGTGTTTGTTTGAGACTTGGAAGTTTCTCTCTTACATAACCCTGATGTGGAAGAACCGGCGATATGGTCGGTAATCAGCAATAAGTAATGGTGGAATATGTACACATTTTCATTCTTGTGTATATGTACCGAGTCTAATCAATCTGCATTTCAGACAGCTGTATTATCTGACCAAACTGGCGACTATTTGAACTAATTTCATTATCTTAATGAGGACGTTATTAAATTATTCACGTTTACAAAAGCGCCGGTCGATTTGAGTCGAACACGTTGTCCAATATCAATGACTAATCTACGAATCTATGCACAAACAACACACACGGGTCGTATACGTATTCTGGCTCCATTCTACTATATTATATCTCCCTGTGTGTGTGTGTGTGTTTGTATGAGTAAGTGTGTATGTGCTCCATTGAATAAAACTTAATCAGCATTTAATTAAATGCACAGAGAACAAGGCAACTGCTATTTGCTGGGGGGAAAGGGAAAGGGGATGGGGAGGGTTAAAAGGGGTGGCTGGGTGGTAGAAACCGATTTCGTTGATTATGTAAATCAATTGAGCAGCGAGATAAAAACGCTTTTTTTTCTACCGCTTCGTTTTTGCTGATAAATCGAAATCGTTCTTTGGCATTATTTTCTGTTTTTCTTGTCTCGTT